CTTGACTTATTTCACTTAGCATAATCTCCACCAGTCCCATCCATGTTGATGTAAAAGTTGGGTATTCATCCTCTCTGATGGCTGAGTAATATTCCATTGTATATATGGACCACATCTTCTTTATCCATTTATCTGTTGAAGGGCATCTTGGCTCTTTCCACAGTTTGGCTATTGTGGACATTGTTGCTATGAACATTGGGGTGGATATGGCCCTTCTTTTCACTACATCCATTTTGTTTCTTAAATTCCACATGTATGTGAAGTCATATGATATTTGTCTTTCTCTTACTGACTTATTTCATGAGCATAATACCTTGTAGTTCCATCCACGTCATTACCAATGGCAAGAATTCATTCTTTTTGGTGGCTGAGTAATATTCCATTGTAAATATAAGTGCCACCTCCTTTTTTATCTGTTCATCTGTTGATGGACATCTGGGCTCTTTCCATAATGTACGTGTGGAGGCATAAGGAAAGTGCCGTATACTTAATGAAACAACTGTGTAGAATGCATCTCTCAACTAACATCTTCTTTCATGAAGATAGAAGCATTTTCAAATATGTGTGTGGAAGCATAAAGAAAATGCCCTATACTTTGAAACAACACTGTGTAACAGATGAGCATAGGGGAAGGGAAGGAAAAATAAAATAAGTTGAAAATTGAGAGGGAGGCAAATCATAAGAACTGAATTGTTTTAAAGCTGAGATGTGAAGGATGAGTATGTGTAGACAAGGTGAAAATTTTGGACCATCCAAGAAGTGAGTACAAAAAAACCCCAAATGAAACAAAACAGCGAGCCTGCCCAGCAGTAAGGCTCATGTGCATTACATAACTTACTCCTCATGAGGACACAGGTACTCACACACTCACAGGTCAGGCATCTCAAGGCCACACTGAGAGCAATGACGGAGCTGGACTTTATCCCCAGGGAGGGGAGCTGTGAGTGAGGTGGGAGGTGTGAGGACTGGGGAGAGGGTCAGATGGACCCAGGGGGAAGCATCAAAGGGAAGCTTCGAAGGTAGGCATTGGCAAAGCAGGCGGCTGCTGCCTGCTCTTATAAGTAGGTTTTATAGGAACACACACTCATTCCCTCCTGAATTGTCTGTGGTTCTGTTTGCGCTCTGAGGACAGGACTGAGTAGTTGCCCCAGAGACTGTAGGACCCACAAAGCTGGAATTTATTGATTATCTGGCCCTTTATGGAAAAAGTTCATTGACCTTAATGCTCAAATCCCTAGGGAGGCCAGCTGGCCAGGGCTCCCTGATGCAGCTGAGCACTCATGTCATCAGGATAAGTGCATAATGTGAGCACCAGACTGGAAGTGACCCCAGCTCTGCCACCAACCAGCTGTGTGATCTTGGCCATGTTAGTTAATCTCCTTGTGCCTCAGTTACTCATCTGTAATATGGCTTATTACTAGTTTCTACTGCACAGGTTGTTGGGGCAATGATTTGAGCTGACATGTGAAAAATATTTAGAACAGTGATTGTATATCAGAAGTGATTTTTATTTTTTATTTTTTAATTTTTATTTTTTTTTAAAGATTTTATTTATTTATTTGAGAGAGAGAGAATGAGAGACAGAGAGCACGAGAGGAAAGAGGGTCAGAGGGAGAAGCAGACCCCCTGCCGAGCAGGGAGCCCGATGCGGGACTCGATCCCGGGACTCCAGGATCATGACCTGAGCCGAAGGCAGTCGCTTAACCAACTGAGCCACCCAGGCGCCCCAGAAGTGATTTTTAAATCTTAGCTGTGGTTACAGTTATTTCGTCATCCAAATGACCCTTCGTTTCTTTTAAAATTAAGATAGAGAAGGAGTTTACACAAATCAATGCCTCCCTTTATGTCACTTTTGTTTTCTAGATTTTAAAAGAACACCCTCAATTAATACAATGAATATTTTATTAATAGACATTTACTAATATATGAGATGCAATTAATATTATACTAATACATAGTCATTTATATAATATGCACTGACTATTTAAAATAATTGAAGAATAGAGAACCCAGAAATGGACCTTAACTCCATGGTCACCTAATATTCAACAAAGTGGGAAAGAATATCCAATGGAAAAGAGACAGTCTCTTCAACAAATGGTGTTGGGAAAATTGGACTGCCACATGTGGAAGAATGAACCTGGACCAGTTTCTTATACCATACACAAAAATAAACTCTAAATGGATGATAGACCTAAACATGAAACAAGAATCCATCAAAATATAGAGGAGAACACAAGCAGCAACTTTTTTGACCTCAGCCATAGCAACTTCTTGTTAAACACATCTCCAAAGTCAAGGGAAACAAAAGCAAAAATGAACTATTGGGACTTCATCAAGATAAAAAGCTATTGCACAGCAAAGGAAACAGTCAACAAGAATGAAAGGCAACCTATGGAATGGGAGACAATATTTTCAAATGTCTTATCATATAAAGGGCTAGTATCCAAAATCTATAAAGAATTTATCAAAATCAACACCCAAAAAACAAATATTCCAGTCAAGAAATGGGTAGAAGAAATGAACAGGCATTTCTCCAAAGAAGACATTCAAATGGCCAACAAACACATAACGAAAATGCTCCACATCACTTGGCATCAGGGAAATACAAATCAAAACCACAATGAGATACCACCTTACACTGGTCAGAATGGCTAAAATTAACAAATCAGGAAACAACAGATGTTGGTGAGGATGTGGAGAAAGGGGAACCCTTTTACACTGTTGGTGGGAATGGAAACTGGTGCAGCCACCCTGGAAAACAGTATGGAAGTTCCTCAAAAAGTTAAAAAGAGAGCTACCCTATGACTCAGCAATTGTACTTCTAAGTATTTATCCAAAGTATACAAATATAATGATTCAAAGGGGCACGTGTACCCAGCAATGTCCACAATAGCCAAACAATGGAAAGAGCCCAAATATCCATCAAAGGATGAATGGATAAAGAAGAGGTGGTATATATATACAATAGAATATTACTCAGCCATCAAAAAGAATGAAATCTTGTCATATGCAACAACATGGATGTAACTAGAGGGTATTATGCTAAGTGAAATAAGTCAGTCAGAGAAAGACAAATACTATAGGATTTCACTCATATGTGAAATTTAAGAAACAAAACAGATGAACATAGGGGAAGGGAAAGAGAAATAAAGTGAAATCAGAGAGGAAGACAAACCATAAGAGACTCTTAACTATAGGAAACAAACTGAAGGTTGCAGGAGAAGAGGAGGATGGGGGTAATTGTGTGATGTGCCTTAAGGAGGGCACTTGGTGTAATGACCACTGGGTGTTGTATGCAACTGAAGAATCACTAAATTCTGCCCCTGAAACTAATAAAAAGAATATAAGCTTCTCTACTGCACAAAAAATGAAATAATTAAATCTAAAAGATAAAACATAGTCACCTCATCTATGTTCACTATATATTAATTTATAATTATTATTTTATATATCATTATTAATATAAAACATAATTTATACTATATAATTATTAACATACTTCATAATTAATATTAAATAATCAAATCTTATCAGAGAAAGACAAATAGCATATTATTTCACTCATGTGTGGAATTTAAGAAACAAAGCAAATGTCCACAATAGCCAAACTATGGAAAGAGCCAAGATGTCCATCAACAGATGAATGGATAAAGAAGATGTGGTATATATATTCAATGGAATATTATGCAGCCATCAAAAGGAATTAAATCTTGCCATTTGCAATGACATGGATGGAACTGGAGGGTA